GTATGCGATTAATAAGGATTACCCGTGCAACGCGCGTTATATAGACCTATAAATCAGATACTCCATTCATAAATAATAAGACAAGTGGTACTTAAGATTTTCCTCGCTTGCTAATTTTAAATCGACGATATGCCCGCGGTGCTTGCGGACTGTGAATTTTAGATGAGCGATAAAATTGCTAATTTCCTTTTTCTCGACGCTTATTTTTGTTGTGCGGCCTGCGATCGTCTGGTAGTAGACCCTTTGCTTTTGGTAAGTCGTGTTGTACATTCCGCAACCTTGCCACAATGAATCTCAGCAGAACGTGGAGTGTACTTCAAAGCTCCATTATGGGGCCCTAATCTGAAACGTCGTTTGCCAAATTCCTGTTAGATCGGAAACGGATGTTTCATCAGCATAACATTAAAGAGGATTGTATGTTATATTTTGGGTGGTCTACTCACTTCGCAATTGGTTAAAGGAGATATCAATAATGGTTTAGCACTTTAGTATTGCGACAGTCGTCACACTCTTAGAAATTCCTTCTTTTCCGAATGTGAATTATAAGACTAACATATGAGGAATATCTTTGGAAATGCATTAATGCTTATAGGAAATAGTTGTTACATTATGTACCATAAAAATAATTAGGATCAGTAATTACAGTAGAAATAATGATTATCCATTAACAACTTTCCATGATTTCCAGTTGCAGCAGCAGCAAACCAGCAGAATGATTTAGTTACAATGTAGTATCACTTTTTCCTCTTCCATTTTTTTTTAAATACTTTGTTACTGGGTATGTTGAAGATTTGGTGGCCATTTCTGATATGACGAAATTAGATATTATCTACAGGCGCTGGACTTTTATGAAACCTTAACTTCTCAGTGGTAAAGCATTCTATTCAATAGTCAAATCAATATTCGTGAATATTCGTTTCGACAATTAAAGAACAGAAAAAGTATTTTAAAAAACTTGAAACAACCAAAATGGCTGAGGCAGGAAATTTATGTTTTGTTTATCGTCTTTAGAATCTTTAACTAGTGTGTTGCCTCGGCTAGCCAATCGGAAATAAACAACAACTGATGTCGTACTTTCTATTTTCCTTTCAAAACTGAATTACACGCTTACACATTTGGTAATTTAACAAGACAAATTGCCCCCCACAGTTTCATTTCGCCGTTCTCACTCGTGTTCTTCTTAAATTCTGACAATACACTTTACCACAAATACAACTGGGACAAGGTAATGGCCGCACCACATTACCCCCTATTAAATTATACTTTCAAACGCAATGACTTAACGCTATAACTTAAAACTATTAACATAAGTGCAGAATGGGTAATTTAATACTCTTTCAAATAGCATCATAATACCGGAATATAAATTTAACTAAAACCTTACAATCATTTTTCAGAACAGGACAAATAGTCGCACAAAATGTAGCTATTTCAAAGAACGCTAAGGTTTAAGGTTAATAACATTTTGTTTATTAATGAAGTCACCATTTTCGTTTCCTATATTATAAGAATTAGGGCCTGCAGAACTCAAAATATAATATGGTCCTTCAAACAGCAAAAAGAACTTACGAATTTCCGAATTTTCCGCAGAAGATAATGGATGCTGTTTGACCAACACCGCGTCACCCACATTAAACTGTACCGGGACAACCGGGAGTTATCATGCTTCAATTTACGTTTTTCACTCTTCGTTAACATTTTTAAATGGGCTAAATGCCAAATTTGCTCTAAATTCGTTTCTTCAATATTTCCAGCGCGTGGATACTTAATTAATTTATGAATGTTATTTTCATTCTCCTTGCCAAAATGCAGAAGGTTTGGAGTAAAACCCGTACTAAAATGTACAGTGTTGTTAATACAATTTTCAATAGTATCAAGAAGACATGCCCACTTTGTATGTTGATTAAAACAAAACGCTCTAAAGAGCCTTCCAATTTCCCTGTTCACTCTTTCGGTTAAGTTGCCTTGTGGAAAATAGACAGAAGTATGGTTAATTTGAACTCCCTTTCCCTTCATATAATTTACCCACTTTTTAGAATGGAATTGAGTAGCATTATCACTTAATATTTGGTCAGGAATTCCCATTTGCTTAAAATAGTCCTTTTTCAACCGATTAATTATAGCTGGTGCTATGGCACGCATAAAGTTTGACATATCGCGAAAATGCATCCACTACCACGAGCAATTGCGTTACTCCTTCACGAGAAGTAGGTAAAGGACCCATTAAATCTAAACAAGTTAACCTTCCTGGACGATCTAACACTAAAGAATTAAATGTTCCCACACTCTTTTTAGATACCTTTGACTTCTGACACAAATCACAAGTTAAAACGATTTTGCGCACAGATTTCGATATTTTAGGCCAGTAAAATTCTTGCTTCATATGTTCATAAGTTTTCTTATACCCCACATGACCCAAATCATTATGTTGTTGTTTAACTAAATACAAAATTTGATTTTCCGGAACAGAGAGTTTATAACCAGGTGACTTTACAGTACCTTTTCGAAATAATATACCTTCATGCAGTTTGTACCACATTATTACCCTTTTTTCTTTGGCATTTATATTACTCAAGTCAGGCTTTTCCAAAATTTTATTTAATATTTCTATTTTTTCGAAAATCCAATTTTGATTTTGATGGTCACACTTAAGAGTTTTAATATGTTCTTTTAATAATTTATATTCACAACTTAATTTTGGCATCGAAATATCAACCTTACTATAAGAATCACATTTGTCTACCTTTCGATTAACGATAGCATGTCGAGATAAGCAATCTGTATTTTTTACCACTTCAATTAGTTCATTTTCGGTATATTCATGACGTTTAGCAGCACTAACGGTATCATCAATAAAATTTATCGTGATAGATTTTTCATTGGCACTTTCTAGTTCGATCCTAACTTTTGAAATATTACCTTCATCTCCTATCGATAAGGATAAATTAGCAAAATCTATTAAAACTTGCTCATTTATCATCCAGTCAGCACCCAATATAATATTTTTGTTTAGTTTTGAAACAATAATACAAATAATATTAAACTCTTTACCCCCACTTCAATAGGCAATAATATTTGTTCAGACACTTTTTGTTTCTTTGCACCTACAGCAACTGAAATTACGGTATTGTTTATTGGTAATATAGGAAAGTTTATACTATGACATTTTAATAAATTTGCAAATTCTTCAGAAATTGCAGAAACTCGGCTACCCGTATCTAAGAAAATTTCATATCTTTTTTCATAAATTTTACCCGAGATTACAGGTGAACAAAAATGTTCCACTAGTTCATCTCCTTCGCTATCTGATACCAAATCACCATACTCAAATTTAGTAATAACCCTCGTCGACCGATTATTATTACTGTTCTCACCTCTATTTCCGTAATTACGTGTCTGATTACTTTCCCTATTACTAGCATCAGCTCTCCTCTGTCTATCATCATTACTGTCCAAATTATGTTGTCTCCAGGGGCCTCTATCTCCCGGTTCAGTTTCGTCAATTTTCTTTAAAAAATTCTCTAGTTCGTCTACTGTTTTGATTCCCGTTATAAAAATTCCCCTCTGTATTTCGCAAGGAAAATGTTGTGCCAACTATTTAACTAAAACAGACTCACTAATTTTTTCAGTTAAATACATTGCTTTTCCAGCTAATTTTAACACTGCTGTCCCTTCTATACTGACCATACTTGAGTTCATAGAACAGCTCCCTTTCCTCAGTAACCCCCCAATAACGTTTTCGAAAAGCCAACAAAAACTCATCTAAATTATTAAAATGTACTTCTTTTGTTGCCACCCAATCTGCTGCTGACCCACGTTAACAATCTATTGCTAAATTTACTTGTAAATGCTCAGGCATCATTTCTTCATTTATCAAACGTCGCAGTTTCTTCTCAAAATATATGGGGTGCACAGGGCCGTCCGGTGAAAAGACTAAATTACACCCACCTCGATCCTTCCAAGACTACAGATAATAACTTGATTCTTTTGCTTGAAAAAAATGCTCCTCATGCCTCATCTGCTTGTTTTGCGCCGCTACTTGATTCGTATCCGTTCCTTCACCTCCAACAGTAGCTAGTATTTCCTTAGTTTTAGCCACTTCAGTTGTTAATTTGGCCACACTATCGGCCAATGACTCAACCAAATTCCATAAACTCATACTGGGACTAATAATTCCATCCAAATCTTTATCCACACTAATACACTTTGTATTTCGCTTGGGCATTTTTAGACACGACAATACACCACCATAAACTCGTAAACAGCAAACTGAATCGATTCCTTCTCAGGTCGTATTTTCTACAGTTCGAGCCCTCGTTGATGCGCCAATTTATGTGTTGCCTTGGCTAGCCAATCGGAAATAAACAACAACTGATGTCGTACTTTCTATTTTCCTTTCAAAACTGAATTACACGCTTACACATTTGGTAATTTAACAAGACAAATTAACACAGTTACTCATTTCGCTGTTCTCACTCGTCTTCTTCTTAACTTCTGATAATACACTTTACCACAAATACAACTGGGACAAGGTATTGGGCGCACCACACTAGTTTTGAGAAAAAATGTTTCGCAATTACTATTTATCTTATTGTTATCAGTGTGAATAAAGGTCGTCACATTGAACTGAATTTAATAAATTATGAATTTTTATTTTATTTTTGAACGGACATACTTATTTTCTCCCTATTATCATCTTTATATGGATTTCTTGAGGAACTAACCACTTCGATAAAAAATAATTTTAAATAAAACTGGCGATAGAATTTTTTTGAAGTATCGCTTTACAAATGTCGCTCTCGTTATTTTTAAAAATTTTAGTCTTTATCTAAATCTAAGTTTCATCGCCTTACAATACAACTATTAAAAAATATAATTTATAACCTATAAACTTCAAACAGTGAGCTCCTAAATGTAATACATTCTTTTTACTTTTTACTGTTTTACGATCCGACTAAACTCACTTCTTCTTCTTCTTCTACTTCTTCTCTGTCGATCTGTTAATTCTGAAGCTGCCTCTGCATCTTTTCCTGTGATGTGGATTGCCAACTATCTTTGCACCTTTTAGGTGGTCTGCCGGGAGGTCTTGGGCCGGGCCGGTTGTTTTTCAGGACTATTCTCGAAAGTCTGTTCTCATCCATCCGTTTTACATGGTTGCACCACTGCCTCTTACGTTGTCTTCCCCATCTCACAATATCTTGTATCCCGCACTGCTCTCTGACATCTGTGTTTCTTACTCTGTCTCTTCTTGTTTTCCCCAATATTGTCCTCAGTGTTTTCATCTCTGCTACCCTTAGCATTTGTTTCATCTTGTTGGTGTCTTCGCGGACTTCCGTGCCGTACGTCATGATGGGTCTGATACAAGTCTTGTAGATTCTAATTTTGCTATCCTTGCGCATGTAGGGATTGGACCAGATTATATCTCGTAGGCATCCTGATAGTGCGGATGCTTTGTTAATCTGGCTCCTTATGTCTTTAACTGGGCCGTGGGTGCTTGATATATCTATGCCCAGATATCTGAATCGCATCACTTGTTCTATGGGTTTGTCCTCCACGACCAGCTTACATCTTAGCGGATCCTTCACGATTGAGATACATTTGGCATTGCTGATAGAAATGTTCATATTGAGTTGGCGGTTTTCTAGGAAGAACTGGAATAGTTGTGTCTGAAGGTTGTTCTCTGATTCGGCGATAATTGCTGCATTATCGGCGTAGCACACCATTCCAACTCTTTTGTTGCCCAGTCTGTATCCGAGGTTACTTTCTTTATAATTTTGTCCATGATGAGATTAAACAAAAGGGGGTTTAGACTGTCACCCTGTCTGATTCCTCTCGGTGTTGGGATATTTTCAGTGAATTGATCTCCTGCCTTGACCTTTGTTACGTTATTGTTATGAAGGTTGTGCATTATCTACGTTATGTTTGCTGGTGCTTTATTTTCCATTAATATCTGTAAAACGTCTCCCAATCGGACCTTATCAAATGCCTTTGTTAGGTCAATGAAGCAGATATACGCTGGCATGTTGTACTCTGTGGCCTTTTCTTTTATTTGTTTTATTATGAACATTGCGTCTGTTGTTGACCGTCCATTTGTGAAGCCCTGTTGTTCTTCAGCATTCTTAATTTGTGCTTCCAGTTTGTCCTTGAGAATACTGGTGAAGAATTTTATTGCCGTATTCAAGAGTGTTATTCCTCTATAGTTTTCTGGGCAGGTTTTTAGTCCTTTCTTGAATACAGGTACAGGTAATTTGCAAACTCACTTCATTCTGTAAATAACAAATTCTGTAGGTATAGTTCATTTCACAAGGGTGCATACTTTATCAATCCCTCTACTTTTTTAAAAAATGAAAACTTTCAGAGAAATTAAATCAAACAAAATGCTTAGTGTATTGGAAACATAAAAAAGACGCTGTTTTACGAGCTAGCTGTCCCATTTATCATAAAAATGTACTTTAAAAAGTCAGTCCATGGTGCAAAATTATGTGGAACTATGCATACCGGCCTAATTTCTCAAAAAATTCAAGATACTTTTAGAAACAAACTAGAGTGTACAACCGAGAACATCGTGTTATGTTAAAAAAAAATTTGGAGTTAAGCTTATATGGGTTGAAGAAATCCAGCTAAAATATGACGGCACATCCGGGGTATACCAGAAATCGGTGTCAACTTCCTTACTTTAAATGGAACACGCTATGCATTATTACTTTTTTCGATTCATGGGAAAATTCCCGACACATTTCACGTATAATATTCGCTACCTAAATGTCAAAGTGACAGTCAAGAGCAGACCAAGTAAAATAAAACTAAACTAATAACTGAAACTATAAATATTCAGAAAATAGCAGACTATACCATGGGTTACGTACAAATTTTTTATTATAAAAATAACTCCAGTTTTTTCAATTTTATTTCGATTGTTATAGTATCCTGTATTATTAATAATTGAAATTAGTAACTAAGTTTTTTAACAGTCATTTTCTACAGGGTAAGAGTTGAATTTTAAGGGATATTGATTGGTCTGTAAACGTTATTCTTGGCAGCAATAGAAACGGTAAATAATAAATAAATAAATTATTTGCTTTGGGTCTGCGTAGTGACAATAGGTTTTTACTATAAGTCAAGCTTGGCTATTTTGGATTTTCAGCTTAAACTTTTTGAGAACTACTTTAACAATATTGCGTCGCGGTTGACACGTCTAATAAAATTGAGAAGTCAAATTACGTTAGAATGTCAGAGTCATTAGGGTTCATATAGCTGGGTACATCTGAGACTTCTCTTTTGTTGTTAATAAAAGACAAAAATTTTTTAGGATTTTTTTCAATGTCGCCAATGCCAAAGCTAATCATACCAAATTACAGAAAAATAGAACTTTCGCAAGAAATAGAAGAAAATGTATTGTTTCTAGTTCCCTCTGTAAAATACCTAATTACACACCGATCTAGCGTGCGGGAAGCGTCATGCGTCACTTTGCCACGTCAGTTTCGTTTCCCACGGATCCGAGCCGCTTCGGACATTTCCGGAATATTACCGCACGGGTTTGGGAGCAATCGGATATTTTCGGGGATTTTACTGCTGGGTTTGAATTTTCACGTTTGTCAATTTTGACGGTCATGTCACTGAATGTATTCGTGTTGTTTTGCGAAAATGTACCCAAAAATTAACGGTTGTAGAAAAAGTATAGAATGAAACACGTTCGGTAAACGTTTGAAGTCATTCGTTTATTAAACACTCGCTCCACTCGTGTCAAATAAATTCGTAAGTCAAATGCCGTTTACCGTACTTGTTGTATAATATATTATTTTCTACTCCCCTCTGTAAAATACCTAATTACACACCGATCTAGCATGTGGGAAGTGTCACTTTACCACGTCAGTTTCGTTTCCCATGGACCGGAACCACTTCGGACATTTCCGGAATATTACAGCACGGGTTTGGGGGCAATCGAATGTTTTCGGAGATTTTACCGCACGGCTTGAATTTTGACGTTTGTCAATTCTGACAGTCGTGTCTGTGAATGTATTCGTGTTGTTTTGCGAAAATGCACCCTAAAACTAATGGTCATAGAACAAGTATAGTATGCAACAGTTTCGGTAAACTCGTTTATTAAACACTGGCTCCGCTCGTGTCAAATAAAGTCGTGAGTCAAATGATGTTTGCCGCAATTGTTGTATAATGTACTATTACGCCAACAAAGTGTTATGCCGTAAAGTAAATGCATTTTTTTTTTGGTATATACTTTTCTGTGGCTCCAATTGTCGTTATTAAGGTCGGTTCTTAACCGCTGCGTGTTTTTCGAAGTTTAAGATTTGCTTTCGGTCAAATTATTAGTGTCCTGGATCTTAGTGAACAGATGGTGTCCTTTTGATGATGTAAGTGTTCGTTGTGAAAGCGAGGCCCTTTTTTATGGTATGGGTTTGCAACCAGAGTTTCATTTTTTGTGTTATGAGGTCATAAAATATGTAGCGGTCTATGACCGAAATGAAAAAAATCTCGACGGTAGTCTGTAATGGGCGAGTGTCCTTGGTAGACTTTCCCAAAGTCCGGAAAAGCAAAGAAGAAGAAGATTTTGTCTCTATTTCCTTTCTATCTCTGGGTCCGCCTGCGCGCGTCTTCTCCCTCTAAAGAACGACGTATTTAGTTATATCTATGTAAATTTTTTTGTCTTAGTTTTTAAAAATGTTTTCCTTATACTTACAATATAATATTAATTATTAATATTAATTTCTCTACACCACACATATGTTCAGTTCCCGTTATTGCTGTGCCTGTTCCCATTACCGGTTACTGGTTGACTTGATAATTCTGTGAAGTCGTAATTTTTGGGAGAGGGTCCGTCACAAGCGAAAACGATATACTTTAAGCCACACATTTGGGCTTTACCCATAGAGTATTGTATTAAATAAATAAATAAAAAGCTAAATATTCCAAAGTGACTAAGAGCAAATTAAAAGATAAATACGATACGATAATCTTCTCCTCATAATGCCGTTATCATTCCCGTATTTTCTTTTCGAAATAATCTATTTATCGAATATAAACGCTATTGCAGTTTCGACGTCGGTCAATTTATCACTCCAAATTGAAACGGAATTGCGCGGGGTGATTGATAAACTAGCCTTAAATTGCGCTAACCGCGGTTATCCGTACTCGCCGTCGATACGTTCTGCTCTCTTAAGAAGTCCGGTATGATTAATTTTATTGCCAACTTTAGATATTACACGCCTGATCAGATGAAATGTTTACGATAGTACCAAGTCGAACAGGTCGAGAAGCAAAGTCGTACGCGATTATTGATTTCGTGATTTTGAAAGTAGAGAGCTTTACGGTGCTGCCGACATGTTCGTATCATCCGACGTAATTGCGATGACGGCAACATTTGTGACGTTCCGATCGTCCTCTTCGAGGTTTAAGTACCGCGCGGTACTTGTAAACGAATGACAATAGGAAACGCATACGTTAACTGTAAACCTCTCCGTAAATCAAGTGGAAAAAACCGCTTCACATACACACTTCTTCAGGTACATATGGGTTTTATAGTGTTACAATAAATAAATCTGGCGTTTACGGTGGAGCATCTCGCGGACGGCGGATGTGGGAGAATAAAATTTGGAGTCATTGGCGGTGACCGCTTCGGGACTTACAATACAAGGATAATTTTATTTATTTATATTAATTAATATTTATTTACGTATTAAAAAGAAATAAAATAATAATCTTAGTAACAAAGAATTTCACTTCATAATAATAACAATAATTATTATTAACTTAACTTTTTAAAAAAATACTTTCCAGTCATTTGAACAGAAAATATACACCACAGTGATATGAAGATAGAAAGCTCCTTATTGAATTTGAAGCTACTAAATCCTTTCCTTGGTACATTTTTTATTTAATCATCACAAATATCAATCGTATTGTTTTCTATCTTTTCATCCTTCAATAGCAATAGCTCTGTCCGTCATTGTGTTTAATACTTCCTTCATCTATGTTATAGCTGGTCTTTCTTCTATTCGAAGGAGCATAATTCAGAGCTCTTTTTGGCCACCTAGACATTAATACTCATTCCAGGTTTGGTTTCTATTTTTCTGTTGTAGTGCAAATTCTTTTCCTTGTTCTTCTAATTTGTTCGTTAGAGATACTGTTTCTTGAAAGCGATGCGGAAAACGGTTCTTTACAGATTGGTAATCGAAAGATTCACAATAATAATGATGACAATAACTTTTTTTTTTCATAGAAACACACCACTGCAACACTTTTTACAAAACTTCTGGATCCCTCCTGAGCCGGTTTTTGCTGATTCGAACTTGCTAACGTATCGCCAATCATCTTGTTGGTTTCTTCAGAGTTTGAGTGAAATTGGCTCGTATTTTACTCTGTACCTGCTTTTATATTGAGGGGATGACTGATTCCCATATTGGTGACAGGTAAAGACCTGAGTCTCGGTTAAGATTGTTAGGTTGTTTATATATTTCTATAGACTCTCAGATTTTTTGTTAGTAAAAGAATTGAATATTGAATAAAATTTTATGTCCGGTTTCGTGATTGTATTGGGCAACAGCTGTTGAGTTTATTTGTCTTAGTCGTAAGGCTCTTTCGTGTTCTTTGAGCCTAGTCGATGTTTTTCGTCCCGTTTCTCCAATGTATTCTTTGCCGCATATGCATGGAATGCTGTAAACTACTGGCATCTCAAATGTAATTCTGTCTTTGACGGATCGAAGATGAT